GAAAGGAAAATGTACATAACAATCAAAAGTGGGGGGTCAGAGTGCCCCCCAGCCAAGCAACAACATGTGGCTGCTTTCAGCTGTCAGGATCCAGGGAAACTGCCACGTGTAACTTCATCCTCAGGGGGAATGTTCAGAGTCTGGCAGGTGTGAGGGACACGGAACTGCAGGAGCTCGTCAGCACCAGCTAATTGCACAAAGCCAATCAGCAGCAGAGGGAAGCTGGAGATACTAACAGGATCCTAACAAATGCTCCCATCCCACTGGAATGCCTCCTGGGATGGAAGGGCAACAGAGACCCGAAGCTGCATTCCAGGTCAGAGTTAAACATTCACCCATTTCCGTGACACTGTAAAGCCCCTTTTTCAGTCACCCCCCCCTCCAGGGATTCCTACAAATAACCAAGATGAGCAGCTCTGCACGTGGGAGCCTCATAAGGGGATGCAAATACAGATCAGCAGTTCCTGCCACACACAAATGACATTTTCCCCTCTTACAAGCACAGTATCACAAGAATCTCTGGTCAATAACAGATGGAAATGAGCTCTGCTGGGGCTCATGGGCCATGTTTGCACATCTGTCCTGCCTTCCTGTCACCTGGCAGCAGGGAATATTTACTGACCTGTTGTTTGCTTGTTCATAGTTCCTGGCTTTCCTGTCGAGCCATTAAGGTTAAAGAAAAAAAAAAGTGATTTAATCCAGGAGCTGCTGAGGGGGGGGTGCTGGGGGCTTTGAATGCTGACAGTACTGGAGACTCCACAGCCTCCCTGGGCAGCCTCTGCCAGCACTGGGCCTCACCCTCACCGTGAGGTTTTTTTCATCCAGTTTCACAATGGTGTTGTTTTTTTTTGTGTTTGGCTCAGATGTCCCTTTTCATGCCGATCCCCTCTTGGCCACTGCCCAGCCTGGTTCCCCCTTTGCCACAGTTCCCTTTGGGGCTGGTAACTCGTAGCCCTTTGCTGGACTCTCCCCAGTAAGTCCGTGTTCCCCTACTGGGAACGTCCCCAGGCCTGGACGCAGCGCTCAGCAGCAGGGAGCAGAGGGGATTACAGAACACTCGTGGGTGTGTGGCTGGGTGGGTGGGTGTGTGGGTGGGTGGGTGTGCCCCCCCTGCACCCCCCACACTTGCTGCCCCTGGATCTGCCTCTCGGGCAGCTCCTTCCCGAGGACGAGCCGGTCCCAGCGCAGCCCGGGGAGCTGCTCGGTGAGAAGG